CATACACCGCCTCCACTATCTGCAAAACAGACAGACCAGCATGATGGACGTAAAGAGGCCATTAGTATGTGCAATACTTGGCCACAACATGAAAGCTACTCAATGAGCATTATAACCATGCACAAATTTTAATCAGAAACAAAAACATCCCAACAAATAAAAAATTAACATCAATTAAGCAGCTCTTGAGCACAGATTGTATTCTTCAAACTGAGTTAAAGTTAGCCTCAGATCCCCAATAAATGAGTGTAGGATATCAAATGCTGATTGCAGGCAGTCCAAACCACAATTAAAAATAAAAGACCAAAAGTAATTTGATATATTTATTTGTATAATTTTCTATGATAAATGAAGACAATTATAGGGGGAATGCACCATAGTACATGATGTATATTTAGAAGAAAGGGGAAAAAATGAACTGGATCATGTGGCCAATAAAACAATGTGCCTGCTTTTAATTGACGGTTTTATAAAAATCACAAATGTTCTGTTTAGGAAGAAAAGGAATGGCATTTTTAGCAACACAAGACCTTTTTGTCTCCCAACAGTGCTTACTTTTGTAGCCAGGGAGAGCATGTTGGTGCTATAGAAGGGGGGATTCAGAGTTGCCATCTGATAAAGGATGCAGCCGGCCGCCCAGACATCAGCCTTCTCCCCATACGGCTCACTCTTCAGTACCTCGGGGCTGAATTAAAACAAGGGTGTTAATAGATACTGAAAAAGGGAGAAGAAATCAGCACAGAAAAAGAGTCCAATTTTCAAGCAAATACTTGGAGATATGAAAAAAAGAACTGAAACTCTTCCTCACTGATTCAAGTAAACTTATTATAGAAAGTATCTTTGAATTCTCCCAGACTCAGATGAATTAAGAAACACAATCATGCAATTCCATTTTAAGCACTAAATATCAATGAACCATATAAATATTGCCCATTAAATTTCCAAGAAAGTTTTTATTTCCAGAAACAATTACCCCTCTGTGGTAGATGGAATTGTTGGCCCCAGTTCTTTACCATTCTGGAGATTTTGTGCATCTCACTCTTACAATGACCTCTTGGTGAGCAGTATGCATTATCCACACCTGCCTCTGGTTTTGTTTTGTTACTTTGGCCAATGGAATATGGAAATGTCAGTGAACCAGACCAGAGCCTTTGTCTTAACAAATATTGAGCACTTTCAGTTGTCCTTCTAGGAGATTCTGTCCATTACCAAGAGAAGACATATCCCAGTGACTGCTATCCCACCAGCTTGGGTCCAGCAGAAGTTACATGAAGTAGATCTAACCCAGACGATGCATAGATCTACAGCCTGAAGAAGACCTAGACCTGTGAGTCTGACAATAAATGCTTATTGTTGAATGCCACCAAAATTTTTGTGACTTGTTAATCAGTATTATTATGGGAAAAACTGACTGATACAGTCCCCTCTCCTTTGCTACTCAACTCTAGCCTATAAGGCAGGAAGAAGACCAAATCTAAATATGTTGCAGAAAACGACAACATCCATCAGGTTCATGTCTTCTGAAATTCCCTTTCCAATCTGGGCATGGAAGCTGTCAGCTTTTAAATAAACTTAAGCCATGAGAATTTACAGATTTGACGTTTTTTGTTGTTTGTTTGTTTGTTTTAATGAGGAGGCAAGTGAAGTTCCCTTGGATATTTTGGAGTAACATATGTTTCCTCTATCATATTTGTAGAATGAAACTCGGTCAAGGGTTGAAGGCTTTTAATACCCACACATCCTAAATTAAATAGTTTAGCAATTCATTCTATGATGTATTTTAGGACTATGTTCAGCCCTCTGCATAAATAGAGGAGGGATTAAGAGTTAACTTTGATGGTGGATTAAGGTATAAAGAAACTGACAAACTGATACTAGAACAATTAGAGTAGACATAATCAATGGTGACTATTAGGAATAATCAAGGAATTGTTCTTTTTGTGAGACTATGAATTCCTGATTTTAGATTTACATTACATGTTTGCAGAGGAAAAGTATGATTTCTAGGATTCTCAGCTGAGCATTTTCATTCTTGGTATTTTGAGTTCAATAATATGGCAATGGGGGAATTGGGAATGAAATTTCCAGAGCTCTGCTTTTTTTAACTGTATAAAAAAGTATCTCCTGTTGTCACCTGGTCAACTGTTCACATTCAAAAAATGAATTAACAAAAAATAATGTCCTCTACAGAAAAAAAAAAAAAAAAGTCTTTGTTTCCCCACAGGCAAATTTCTCAGGTTTTAATCTACGGAGAACTCAGAGGATTTGTTTCACATTTCCAAAAGCTCATGAAGCAGATGCTGTGAGTGTTCTACCCATTTCCCCTCAGATCCTTTTTCCATTTCCTGTTCCTGGTATGCTTTCATTCTCAACAGCCAGCAACTGTATTTCTTCAGAGGAGAGCCTTCATTTCTTCTGAAAAAATAATTACTCCGCCTGGGGGAAAACACTTGTAACAACAGAGTTTACTCAGTTGATTGTTCTCATCACTTCACCTCCTCCTCCTTCTCAGTGGAGACCACAAACTCTTCTTATTCCCACAGGTGTGCCCCTTTGCACTGTGGCTTTGCAAATCCCATCCAGTGCTGGAGTCTATTTCTCTATGCATTGAATCTGGACTTGATATGACTTGCTTTGGCCAAGAAGATAACAACGAAAGTGATACAAGGAGAGACTTAAACTTACTCTTTGGGGTTTTTTCTTCCTTCCTGCTCTTGAAAACCCTATGAACACAACCAGGTGACTCAGGCCAGGTCTGCCTGCTGGATGATGATAATATATGACCAATTACCTCCACCACCAGTACATACAGACAGTTAACCATAAGACATGTGAGTGAAGCCATTGGAAACCAGGTGACCACAATGCATACTGAGTTCACCCAATACACTGATCAGCAGTCCTCACTGGGACCAGCCCAATTCGCCAACACACAGTGTATTGATTAAAAAAAAAAAAAAAGTTTATTGTATTAAGCCACTGAGTTTTGAGGCAGTTTGTCAAAGCTAAATGATATAATAGCTTTCATCAGATTTTCAAAGCTGTGCTTAAACCCCTGAAAAAAGACCAAGAATTACTTCTCCGAAAAAGAATAAGAAAGGGAAATTAAAGACAAACAACGCAGTTGCCAACTAGCATTTTTCTTCCAGGATAAACGTCAACTATTATCCTCTAAGGTAAGAATTACATAATTAAAACCAAAAGCAATGACAAACAAAATACAGAGTCTGATTTCTAGAGGCCACAACAAAATGTTCTGTTACGGTTGGAATTGTGTCCCCCCCAAATTCGTATGTTGACATCCCCATCCCACTACTTCAGAATGTGACCGTATTTTAAAGTAATTTGGCATGAGATGATTAAGTTGAGAAGATGCCACTGTGATGGGCCCTAATCCAATATGACCAGTGTCCTTGCGAGAAGAGGAAGAGACACCATTAGTGTGCACGTACAGAAGAACAACCACGTGACAATGCAACAAGAGGGTGGAATCCAGGCCCCCAAGGAGATTGAACTGGCCTACACTTTGATCTTGGACTTCCAGCCTTCGGAAGTGTGAGAAAATAAATTTAAGCCACCGCCACCTGGTCTGTGGTATTTTTGTTATGGCAGCCTTAGAAAACTAGTGCAGGTTCTATGAGAAAACCTACTTACGTTTTTTCACCTTCAAAAGAACCCAACCTTTGGGAAATAGGACTAAAATCATTGATTCAATCACAACTTACAAATATCATAGAAGGTTTTTGGTGGTTATTATTTAGAAAACACTTGAAAAATAACTTGTTGTCTTTCCAATTTCTCTGCTTAAGGTGAGCCCATCCACATTTATAAAAATACAGAGATTTATAGCTAGCAATGCTTCATTTAAAGGAAAGAAGTTAAGTAGTATACACACACACAATTTAAAATGGGTTTTCTTTTTTCCAAACAAGAACATTATTCTGTATTTTAAAAATGGTTATTCCTATGTGATCCAGTCATCCAAAATCTTTTAGTGACAAAATAAAACATAACTTAGGTGATACTAAACAAAAATAGGGGTTCTTTTGGCCAAGGTTAAAATATTTGCAATTAAATGTGTAAAAATTACATCCATTGTCAGTTGTATGCAAGTATTTATTTTTATTATTGCTGATATAATACACAACATGGTATTGTATCTAATATAAAGCATGTATTACAGACTTGAAATTTGTTAAAAGCAGATCACAAGTATTCTCATATACGCAAAGAGGTAACTATGTAATTGAATTTAAATAAAATAAAAATTTAAAAAAAGGTAACTATGTGAGGTGATAGATATGTTACTTAGCTTGATTGTGGTAATTATTTCACAATGTGTAAGTACACTGAAACATCACATTGTACACCTTAACTGTATACAGTTTTTAACTGTTAATAATCAATTCTTCAACTGAGTTGGAAAAAATTTAAGTGAAGCCAGGGGTAGTAAAGAGTTAAGTAGATGGTAAGGAACAATGTGTATTTATTATAAATATTTGAATAAATAAGTAAACATAACTCATAATCAGCAGCCTTTGATATGGGGGTGGACACTAAACACTACCTTTGCTTTACAAAGTCATAAATTATTGATAGTGAAAATAAGGCAGAAGAAAGATGAGGTTGGAAGGATGCTTAATTTAATTTTTTAAAAAGATAAACTTTTGTTTAGATCTTAAAATTCTACAACTAAACCTTCACTGATATATAAACAATTAAGTTGCTAATTGTCAAGTATTCTTATTTACTAAGTGAGGTAAACAAGAAAAACAGTGGGCCTTGATGTCTTTTAAACATTTTAAAACACGAATATTTTGATAACTTTTAAGTAATTTAACAATATGATGATTTATGTACGTTTGGAGGGGGATCTTTTTTCCTTTAAACAGACCAAAGTTAACGAAACTAGATAACAGATGTCAAAAGGTTTTTGTATATAGGTAAGTATATTCTTCTTTCCTGCAATCGTCATATTATCATGCTTGTTTTTGATTATTGGGCTCACTCCAGCATGTGTACTAAAATTAGAATGATGGAGTGAAGATTAGCCTGACATCTGCACAAGGATGACATGCAAATTTGTGAAGCATTCCATGCTTTGGAAACAGTAAGATGATAGGAAAAAGGTACTGTACATTAGGACTATCCTTTAGTCAACAAAGTTGTTTCCTCTAGGGGTAAAGAGTAAAAATTCTGATCGTGCTATATATCTATTCTGGAATTAGCAGTTAGCAAAAGCCAGATTTCTCACTGTTGGAGAGGGACTCTACAGATAAACGAGGAAAAAAGTGGTTAGATGTACTCTACCAGGGGTATTAAAATAGAGATGGAGACAACACACTGAACTCATGTTTAGCTATTATTGATAACTATAGTTGCATATAGAAATAGTTTAGATAGCTGTATACACACAGGTCAGTACACACATATACATTTATCTCCTTGCTCTGACAGCTGAAGAGACCTGGAAATGACAACATCCCAGTAGCAATGAATACTTTTAGCACCAGATCTTGGTTGGTTCTTTCTTTTTCTTCTTCTTCTTTTCTTTCTTTCTTTCTTCCTTTCTTTCTCTCTCTCTCTCTCTCTCTCTCTCGAGTACTTACTTACATTTTTTCACCTTCACCTTCTCTCGAGAGAGAGAGAGAGAGAGAGAGAGAGAGAAAGAGCACATGAGTGTTGGGAGGGACAGGCAGAGAGGGAGAGAGAGAATCTTAAGCAGGCTCCACACCCAGAGCAGAGCCTATCACAGGGCTCCATCTCACGACACTGAGATCATGACCTGAGCTGAAATCAAGAGTCATATGCTTAACCAACTGAGCCACCCAGGTGTTCCCAGATCTTGGTTTTTAATACTATTCTCTAATAAAAAGAATCAGGACTCCTTGGAGAAATGCCTGATTCTAGGACAGGGGGAGGATATATACACTAAATGAGCCTGGAGAATCTTGTATTGCCAGGAAGTTAGGGTTCAAAAGGAAAAAAAAACAAACAAAAAACAAAAACAAAAAAACAACTTCTAATGATGAGATTATGTCAAAGGGACACAGAACACAACCTAAAGCGCTCCCAGTGACCAAATGTGGAACAATTTGAGCAGCAAAATAAATAGAATTGTGTATTAGTCAGTTCGAGGTACCATAACAAAAGACCATAGATGGAATGTCTTAAGCAAGAATAAACAGGAATTTATTTCTCACAATTCAGAAAGCTGGGAAGTCTAAGATCAAGGTACTAGCCAATTTTGTCCCCCCATAAGGGTCCTCTTCCTGGCCTGCAGATGGCCATCTTCCTGCTGTATCCTCACGTGGCTGGGAGGTGGAGGAAGGGCTGTGCTGGGGGTGACTGATATTCTTAGAAGACCACCTTGTGAGGGCCCCATTTTCCTGACCTCATCTAAACCAAGTACTTCAAGGCCTATCTCCAAACACTATCACAGGACCTTCAGAAAACTAGTTTTCACCTAAATCCAGGAGGTAAAATTTCAGAGAGACTACGAGGAAACTGCTAATTTCAGAAGGCATTCCAGGGGGTTGAAGCAGAAGAGCAGGGCAGAGGGGAAGGAATGGTGGTCAATGACAGCCAGTGGAGAAGAGACCCAGGCATGGTCAGGGATAACAACCCTCCCATCCTCTCTGATAGTAGTGGCCCAGCTGGGTCCTTAAGCCTCGTCTCTCCAGCTCTAGGCCACCCTCTCCACAACCACTAAAGTGACCTTCCCCTAACAGAAAGCTGATCCCTTCACCACTGCCAGGGAACAGATTATGTTCTGCCATTGTCCTGTGAGTCTCAATCATTAAAAACCACAAAAACAAATAATGTAAAATCCTTCCTTGACCCCAAGTCCTCCTATGAGTACCACTTTTTTCTTTCAAGCAAAGTCTTTTGAAGAGTAATTCCTGTTGGCCCTCGCAATTCCTCACCCACCATCCATCATTCAACCCAACTCTAGTCCAGCATCTGTTCTTATCTTGCCTTTGGTAGGGTTTCCCCTTAGAGCATCAGTGGATTACTAACTGCCTCACTTGTTTTAGGTGACTTCCCATCAATTTTTGACACTATCAACTAAAACTTACTTGTTGAGACATTATTTTCTTCATTTATTCAATAAACTGCTCCGGAGTACCAGGCACTGTTCTACCTGCTTAGAATACATCAACAAAAGCACTGGCCCTCATGGAGCTTGCCTTCCAGTAAGAAACAGGGAGCAGGGAAGATAAAAAGCACAACACAATGATTAAAAACTAAATTATAGTACATAGTATTTTAGTAGATGATAAATGCTATAGAAAATGGAAAACCTGGATTAGAATAAAAGAGGAGTGGATGGGGGCAGGCGGGCTGCAATATTACAAAGGGTAGTCACTTCCGTTCTCTCAGTCCCCATATAATGGCACTTTTTTCTTTCATCCAGGTGCTAAATGATGTTTTTCTTCTCACTCTTCACTCTCTCCTTGAATAATTTCTTTCACACCTCAGTCTTCCGTTAAAACCATATGTGGACAATTTCCAGATCTAACTGACAGCCACAAGCCCCTCAGACACACATACCTCGTCACACAGTAGCTCTGTTACAAACCACCAATTCTTAGGATAAAGTCCTGGACTCTGAATGATTTGTCTATTTTACCAAGATGAGAACACAACCAATGTCAATAACCCTCACATTTTCTGGAATTTCTTTTTTTGGCAGGGGTGTGGAGGGGGGACAGAGGGAGAGAGAGAGTCTGAAGCAGGCCCCACACACATCGCGGAGCCCTACATGGGCCTGATTTCAAAACCCTGAGATCATGACCCAAGCTGAAATCAGGAGTTGGCCACTTAACCAACTGAGCCACCCACGTGCCCCTCTTGAATTTCAAGGGCTGTTTCTGAGGTGTAGCAAACGGGCCAAGGTATCTCTGCGGAGAAAGGCCAGAGCTTCTGTACCAGGGAGATAGTTAGCACCAGGGAGCCATCTTAAACCCTGGGGTCTGTTTTCTTCATAATTCCTGGTGGGACCTGTGACTATTTTTGCCCCAACATTACCTCCTGATGCAAACATTTCTTTTTATTTTTCTACTTCCATTTCTGCTTCCATTTGCACGTCAAAGAATCCTTTGGTTTTTAAAGATGTGTGTGTGTATGTGTGAGGGTACGCACATGTGTGGGGGCATGGGAACTTTTTCTTGATCTGAGAAACTTGGGGCTGGCTACTCTGCATCCCACTGAACCTTTCTCATCTCAAGATCCAATGTTTCCACAGCATCTGCCACTTCAGATTTTATCCCTAGTTCCTAGTGTGTCCACCATTAACACACTAGTAACCCACAGATAAACTTAACCTGTCAAAGGCTAGTACTTGCCACAGAAGATAAACTTAAAATACGTGACAACTGTGAGTTCATAAGAATGAGCTTATATATAGCACTAATGAGCAGAAAGAAATTCTAGAGCCGAGGGAGATTCATTTGTTGAAAGGCATGGGAAACTGGGGAAGAAATTAGAATTTTTAGAGAAATTGAAAAGCTATTATTGAAATGTATCTCATTGGCAAGATAATGATGTCGCATCTTAGAAGTGGTGTTGGAAGACATCGTAAAAGAAAATTTTGCCTAACAAATATTAGAAATTACTAATAAAAGAATCTTGAGTTGTTTAGGACACAGTTAAGGCTAAATGTTTAGAGATAAGTTTCTTGTATTGAAATAATTCACCCAATAATATTTGCTTCACTGGGTAAGGATAGAAAGGGATTTTTGCATCCCACTGCAATATATTAATTCTAAGTCTATTTAAAAAGTACATTTAGTTCTCAGGTTCTGGCCATCAAACTTTCATTTCCCTAGACTGTCTTAAAGAAGAAGAAGAAAGAGAATGAATTTATCATTGTTAAGTGAAAAAGAAACAAAAATGTAAATTTTAAAAGAATATAAACTGTCTGGGAACACAAGATCCACTATTTGCTCACTGAAGAGGCAAAAGTCCCTATGAATTCGTGAGGACAAAAATCTGACCTGAAGTGACATAATTAAATGTATAGGCCAACAATTATAGTTTGTTGAGGCTGAAAAACAAATTATGCTCTATCTTAGAATGATTCAATATAAAACGTTTAGCAATAATAGGATGGATAAAGTGGATGTATCCACACAAGTGTGTGTGTGTGTGTGTGTGTGTGCACGTTTATCATTGCTAGAGGTGGGCAAATGTTGCTGAGAAATAGCTCAAAAACCCATCATTATGGTGGGATGGGAATCAATGAGAATGAACGGAAATGAGGGAAGTTGGGAGAACCCAGAGGAAACAAATGGCTAGGGGCATTTTCTGGAGGATGAGCAATGTGATACTCAGATACTCAGTGAGATAAGCAGAGCTTAGCAAAAAGCACTCTAGGCAGAATGATGAATGCATTTGCAAGATCCTTCCATGTTCTGATTTTTTTTCCTATGAGACCCTGCTTATTAAGTCCCTTCAGGCATAGGTAGAATATGGTCTAGTCCCTCTAGAGCCACAGCAGTGAAAGGTCATTCCATCAGCCCCGTGTGCTGGGTGATGCAAGGTGAAGGGAGTGAGTTGAAGGGGAGACAGAGACTGGGGGAGCTGCCACTAATGTGACAGCCAAGGAAACTGGGAGAAAAGGAATTCCACAGGATTGACTGGATGTGAGAAGGAGAATAAGAAAAGGGAAGACCCCTCATTTCCAGGCTTCTAAGTGTCTGGCTTGAATGACAGAGTGGGTATCAGTATCATTAACATAGATATAGGGGGAACAGGTGTGGGAGAAGAAACTAGAACAGTTTGGAATATATTAGTTTATGCCTATGAGATCCACAGTTGAGGACAGCCAATGGGTAATATCATTCTGGTTACTAACAGTCACTTAAAGTCTTATCCTCAGAGGTTCTGAACTCTCATATCACAGAAATTTCTCCGTTCACAGAAGCCTGCTGCCATTAAGCAGATAAACAGATTTGATACCTAAACAGTTCCAATAATGTTCTAAACACAGACTTCTTTTAGAGAGGAAAGAGAATTGGATGACACGTTCAAGAACCATGGAATAATATACTATGACTGAAGAAAACCTTTATCACAAAATTTAGGGCCTGCCTGATCCTA